TTGGCATTACAGACAGGATGCGTGTTGGTTAAGTTGGGGATCTGAAATCTTTAAATAAAAATTGTTATTAAGCTGTGTTAAATGCTTCAGCATAGGCGCTGAGCAAAAGTTAAAGTGAAACTAACTAAGCTAATTTCTGAAGAGTCATGAAGGAAAAAGAGTTTTAAAAGCTGTCAGTTTTTTTCCTTCTCACGCAAAAGTCTAAATTGTTTCTAAAAATTCTGTTTCACATTGTGCAACCCGTGCATTGAATGATGTGAATAAAAGTGAATCAGAGAATTTGTGTTTAGTCAGTAGACGTACCTATACTCTCCATGGAGAACTGTAGAAAGCCAGTGCTGACTGGGGGACAAGTGTTTTGAGTAATTGTTTTGTTGTGCTCAGTTGGTAGATGCACCTATACTCTCTACAGAGAGCTGTAGAAAGCCAGTGCTAACCTTAAGCCAGAATAGTTGCCTGGATAAAATCTGATTGCCTTGATAAAATAATAAGTCAGTGCCAGGCAACTGGATAAGCGCCAAAGTATGAATAACTGTGGCAGCCATAAGCGAGAGTAGATACCTGGATAAGGACTGACTGTTATGTAAATAAATAAGCCAAACATTAGCAGTCTGGATAAGTACACACTCAAGTGAAAAAACTAAAAACACATTTAGATCAATGTGGGTTTATTAAGGGCAGGAGCACAAATGATAACACCAGAAAAGTGATAAATATAATATATCATATAAAACAAGAAGAGGAATCGTCTTTGATGGACCTCAATGGAGGGGGAGGACAGAAGAAGGAAGGGACGGCGATCCTCTCAATACACTAAGCACCCATTCCAAACCACTGGAGAATTGACATTTCCCTCCCCTATCCACTCCCCCATCCCTCTAACATCGCGTCTCATTATTTTCAGTTCTTTCTTCAAATATGTATTGTAGTTATATATTTCTAAATAAGTGTCTGTGTGAGTTTTACCGTCTATTTGAAAACTGTGCCGTTATTCTTGTTATATCTATTCGAGCCATTGCACCCCACAATCTCTGCACCCCCAACCATTCCCTCCCTCTTCAACACACGGTGTTATTTGTGAGAATACCTAGAGTGTTTTTCTATTTAAAATTTTAAATCAATGCTATACATAGGACACAAGGTCACACATTTAGGCTGGAAGAAAGGAGATTTCATCTAAGGCAAAGAAATGTGTTTTTTTTTACAGTAAGAGCAATATTATGTATTTTTACTCACCTTTGATTTTATATTAATAATAAATAGTGGATTTTAGTACTATTTGGTAGTCTGTCCGATTCCAGGTTCTAGAATGGGGAGTGTCACCCCACAAATTGACACCAGGCGTTTACACCTGAGAGCCAATGCATATATGGGCTCTTATTAAGGTGAGAGTCCTCTTTTATGAAGTGATTTTAGCTTATTATAAGCACAGACATACTACATCATAATCTCCTATGTTTTGCTTGCCTTGAGATTCCTGTTTATCCAAGAAGGTGGGGTGCTACCTATAACAGCACAGCTGTGTCATTGTAGAGCCTTACCCTCAGGCTCTGAAGATTGTGAGTGTGTCTACCTTTATTTATTTTGCATCTAGTATATTGCAAATACCATCTGCACTAGATTTGTTTTATGTTTTTTTCTCTTTTATGTATCACTCCACATCGAGATTTATATTACCATTCAGGGGGGTAAGCTAATATTTGCCTGTCTATTATTCAGCGCTCCACCCACTGATTAAAGGGTTTATCCAGTTAATCATTTTTCTCTATGTATTTATGGTGAGAGAAGAGCAGCTATTCACACGTTGATTTTGAAGCACTATTTAGTGTTCACACTGAGCTCACTTGTGAGTCACTTCTATTAAACATATACACAAAGCTTATTAGAGATCCCATAATGAGAGTTCGTTTTAAGTTCTTGAGAATCTTTAAAGAAATAAGAAATGTCTTGAAATGTATCCAGTAGGGCTGTGGAAAAATGTCCATATGACGGTCTGCCAAGGTATTACCGCCATGCATACTCTTTTCCCATAGTAATCATACGCCAATAATCCATAGGTTACAGTATCACCGGTATCGCCCACACATGAGTCAAAACTTAATGCTGGGACAAGACTGGTTTAATGGTAAACAGGAATTCAATTTATACAGTGAAGAAACTCCTCCTCTGAGCCAGGGAGATAATTGAGTCAGAGAATGTACTAAACTCAATTATCTCCTGGTACAGAAAAAGTTATAATTTTACAACACCCCGAAAGTACCCCCAAAATGCATGGGAACTTCACATATCCCTGTGTAGCATGGATCTAGGGGAACAATATATCCGAAAATCAGCCAGATCCATTTGGTAGTTTGTGATCGGCACCGCAGGGAAGATATGACCGGTCTGCCACAAGGTCGAAGCCCAGGAACAGTTCCATGAAAAGTGTGGCAAGAGCTGGTCTCCGTTCATGGGGTTTTGCACAAAAACCACATAAGACAAAGTCTAGCATTGTGGAGAATGCTCCCTGTGTTCAGTATTCTGCAACTCACGAACACCGTTCGTCTAAGTGAATGGAAAGGAGAACGTAGAGTAAATCAATGGAGACCGGTGTTCGTGAGAGTGCCTGGCCGAAATGAGTTCCAGGCACTCGACGACCACCATCCATTGTCCCAACCACTTGTATTCGTATGCACGAAATGGCAGCCACCCAGTGGAGCATTCGATTAATGATTTTCTCTGTGGTTTTCATACAAAATACACAGCATTCCATGTTCTAATTGGTCTATTGGGTGGTCTCGGTATTCACCCATTTCCTCTATAGATATGAATTCTTCAAAAAATGTATTGAGAAAATTGATTTTGTTGTACAGCTTCTGGTATGCCTCTAAGGCAAATGTTCTTGTGTCTTGCCCTATTTTCCATATTGGTTATTTTATCTTCCAAACTTTTTAGTTTAAATTCCATTTTTAGATAAGAATCTTGAAGCAACTTTGCTCTTGAATTGAGGTTAGAGTGTTTGCTTGAACATTGAGAGTTTATACTAAGGAAGTTATTTCAGATCTCAGTTCTCCAAAATTAAGTTCAATATCTTTCTTAATTTTGGTGTATAATTTGCCGAAAAGTGCTGATAATAGTGGTTGGGTGATCCCTTGGGAATTAGAGCACATAATGGAAGTGTCTTCTTCAAATATGTCAGTAACTTCAGGAGGTCCATGCTTAGCTATCTCCTTAGTCTCTCTCTGGAAGAGATTTTCTGTGTTTGTCCTGATAACTTTCAGTTTATTTCGGGGAGTAAAAAGTGCTTATAGGTCGATTTTTCAGAAGAAGTGAGCCATTTTGTTCTGGCCTTCGTACTTTACCAAATGTTACCAATCCATATATCCGTGTATTGATTTTTATTTGAAGAGTAAAAAGACAGCCATAATTCCACGTAAGGCACTCCAAATGATGCAATACTATTGTTTAAATTATTTGGCAGTCCAATTCTTTCTCTCCTACTTCCTCAATCTCCTTTCCTACCCTTCCTTTTTCAGCTGCAAGATCATTTCATAATGAAATGGTCTTGTATAGTCACAATAACGAACCAATATAAATAAAGGACTTAATTGAGCACAAAAAAATAAATAAAAATAAAGGCAAAAAGAGCTACACAAACATGTATGTAGCAATTTTCAGGAACCTTTCAGACTTTCAGATATTTTTTGCCTGCTTGAAATGAACCAGCATCATTTGCAGATCTCTTCTTATCCTTCTTAAAAGCCCCTGCTGGTATTGCTGGTACTGCCTCACTGTGACCATATATACTGAGAACGAGAAACCATCAGATAAGAAAAAAGACAAAAAGATGACCTCAATTAATTCTGCATTAATTCCAATAACGCCAAAGAGGTTCGGTCTCCTCAAATTGCGGCGTGAACAGAGGCATCTCAGCAGAAAGCTCCTTGTCTATCAATTTAAATAAATAAGTTCCAGGCCCATATTGACATGAAAGAGTAAGATTTGGGTAGGAAGTTTTATTGAAAATATAGGAAAGGCATACCAACTTTCTTAATTCCAATTCTATACTTAATAGCCATCTGTCTGGTTTCTTCTTTACTAAAACATTTTTAATCCATATGCCCATTATCTTTTAATTGCTGACAAAGTAAATTCAAATACTTATGCACTCTATTCATCTTGACCTCTCTGTTGTATTTAACACTGTGTTAACACTGTAGACCATCTGCTTCTTTGTCTTACCGTTTGTATCCTTGGTCTTCATAATCCTTCTTTTTTTCTGGATTTAACCTTACCTCTTTTCATAGTATCAAAGAGAAACCTGGGCAAACAAGTCATAGATTAAACAACTTAATGTAAACAAGTCATGGGAAAACATATCAACTTAATTCCAGAGTTTTTTTCCCCAAGTCATACTACCTCAACATACTATGTGCATTTATATAATCAAGTAATTAGTTACAGTAGCCTCATCAATACAGAGATGCTGCTAATGGAGGGCAGAAATTACATAACACCATAACACCATGCCAGTACAAAACTGGAAATGATATAATAAGCAAATCCATAACAATGAATGTAATAGAGAAAAGGCATCTCTAACAAATATTGAAATCTTACAAAAAGCCCCTAGGACTCATATGAGTAGTACAAGAAACTAGTGTACATGAAATGCAAGTCCATGATATAAAAAAATACCAATTGAATAACACAAAAAAAGAAAGAAAACCTTCTCATCAAAGAATAACACTTCATTGTAGTAACATATATGCAATTACTGTATTTAAAGATTGTATCCATCAAATAAAAGTAGGGTTAGGGTAGGGTTAGGATTAGGAGTAGGGTTAGGATTGGGTTAGGAGTAGGGTTAGGGTTAGAGTAGGGTTAGAGTTAGGGTTGGATTAGGAGTAGGGTTAGGGTTAGTAGTAGGGTTAGGGTTCGGTTAGGACTAAGGTTAGGGTTAGGAGTAGGAATAGGGTTGGGCTATGTGTAAGATTAGGGTTTGGAGTAGGGTTAGGGTAGGGTTAGGAGTAGAGTTAGGATTGGGTTAGGAGTAGGGTAAGTGTTAGGGTTAAGAGAAGGGTGAGGGTTGGGTTAGGAGTAGGGTTAGGGTTTGGGTTAGGAGTAGGGGTAGGAGTAGGGTTAGGGTTGGGTCAGGAGTAGGGTTTGGGTTAACCCTACACCTACTCTTAACCTAACCCTAACCCTACCCCTAACACTACTCCTAACCCTATCCCTAACCCTACCCCAACCACAATCCTACCCCTACCCACTTTGACACTTTTCAGAAGTCCGAAGCACTTTGGCACTTCGGAAATTCAGTTCGGTTCTGCACTTCGGTTGGGTTCAGCACTTCCGAAATTCAGCACTTCGGACATTTGGAAGCATCCGAATGTCCGAATGTCTGAAATTCATCCAAATTTCCATTCGGACTGAACCGAATTGCACATGTCTAATAAAAGCTATGTGTACAAACATAATGTAAAATTATAGCATCAATAAAAGTGACAAGAAATTGAAGTGTGAATTAAGAATTTATATAGTACAGTGTTGGCATTTGAATGCAGGCATTGATTTGTATGTAGTGGTTTTCAATGCAGGAGTATGTTTTTTATATCATGTTGGGGTTTTAATACAGAGGTCTGTTGCATGCAATGTTGAGGTTTTAATGCAGGGGTCTATTTGTTTGTAGTTTGATGTTTGAATGCAGGGGTGTATTTGTGTGTAGTGTTGGCGAGATGCTGAGATATATGCAAATACACACATATACACGCACTGAGGCACATTCGGATACTCATACAGATACACACATGCAGATATATAAACAGACATATACACACTGACACAAAGACAGATACACAGAAACACAGGTGCACACACTTACACACATACAGATACACAGATTCACAGTTATACTTATGCAGATACACATGCACACAGATACACACAGACAGATCCACGGATGCAAATACACAGACTTACATACTGATACAAACACTGATACATGGACAAAGATACACAGGTACACACACTGACACACATACAGATACACTGACACACATGCAGATACACAGAGACACACACTGATACACATGCCGATACACAGACACATACTGACACACATGCAGATACATCTATACACAAGTACACACATACAGGTCAAAATGTACACATGCATTAAACCACTGTATAACCTTGCTTCAGATATACAGATATATTATACTGTGTGCATATATCTGTTTTGTAACTCTGTGTATCAATCTCAATAACCTTAGTTATGGGCATCTCCTTATTGTGCCCAGTTCTGTGTGTAGTAACTAGATAATGCACTTATTCCTATCTGATGTTTGGTTATCTTTGAGTCATACCCAGCTCTGTGTATTTTATGGTTATCGTGTTGTGCCCGGCTCTTTGTGTGGTACTCAGTTCTGTGTAATGTATAGGCATCTCTGTATTGTACAAAGCCATGAGTAATGTATGAATATCTCTGATTTGTATGCAACTCTGTATATTGTATTGGTACTACCATTAGAGGTTAAGTACATAATCATAAACGGACAGATTGTTAAGGTCAGAGGATAGTGGCTACAGAGTTAATAGGTGGAGTCCACCAGCAGCCATTATATAAAGCATAGGATTTGTATATTTAGCACAGAATTTCAAGTTTTACTCTTTACAAATACAGTAGCAAGAACTGCCTTTTCCAGTTGAATCTACAAATATCATCAATATTTACCTTGAGGCAGTGCAAGTAGACCGGGGCAAAAATTAAAATAATCAATTTTTAAAAAGTAATACATTTGATAAATCATATATGTAAATGAATAATGTTATATAAATGTAAAAACGTAAATAAATATATATTTAATTGTTGGGGTATATTTGACCAGTGTTTAGAATTATCCCAAAGATAGCTTCCATGGAGTTATCTATTAAAATGGTTATTGTAATTTTATAATGGCAGCTTGTATTAGAAAAGTTCTACAACTTTTACAGGACCAAATTTGGAGGCAGCCATTTACCAGTACTGCATATGTTAATGTATTTTTGCATTGAATTGCATATTTCTTTTCAAATAACTTTTATTGATAATTTTTTATATAACATAACAATATAATTTTAGCATATTCTATCAATCGATTTTGGATTTCAGGTGTATTTTTTTTTCTATACTTTAAGTGTAATTTGTAAATTGTATTGCAAAATCCAAATATTGATAGATCTCGAAAATAACGATATAATTATCTAGTCATTGATGGTAATCTACCTTGAGGCATTCGTCATTTTAGATATTTGAGATATGAAAGCATTTTTTTCACTAAGCTCCAGGTTTCTATATAGGTTTAGAATCTTTGAAAGTAGATTTGCCTAACAGTTTTCATGCATATAGAAATAGACGTTTAAGATAACATGGTATGAAATGAACAGACATCTGCATGATTCCTTAGTTTAAATAAGCATGTGTAAAATGTATTATATACTTGTTTTCTCTGTTAATTGTATCAAGCCAATAAAAATTACATTTTCTATTATGCACATTATATGAGACCAATTTATTGCATAAGCAGTATTTTATTTAACTGATATAACTACTCTAAAGTGTGAAAAATTAAATCAGAATGCAATAATACAATATAAATGAATCTCAAAGACAGAGTGTGTCCAAAATCAATGATATAATAAAGCCACATGTTAACACTGTTCTAACTAGTTGGCATTTGCAAAAAAACGCAGTACTATTTATCTAGAAAGTGATAGATAAGAGAGCACTCTATATGACTTGTTATATGACTTGTTATAGAATTGTAATCATTGCTTTTTTATACACTCAAAAAATACAATGATGATCTGCTACAGATATATCCAAGGTTACCTGGCTATAGGAGACCCGTATTGCCAAATGCAAGTTCCTACTAGACTTGTACAAGGCATGATTGGTCTGTTCAGCTGCATCCATGAGATGGCTCAGCTGGAGTGAACATCATTCATAAAAATATTCAGGTAGCATTCAGATATCCAAATAGCTGAGGACAAAAAATAAAATAAAAAAACTATTATCGTACTGCTTTGAAAAATTGGCTATGTTATTGCCTAGCCTAATAGCAAGGCAATATCAACTATTTTTGCAACACCAATTTGAATTGTCAACTTGTAATACTTATATTATCATGTCTCTATTAAAACTGAGAGAACTGTATATAAAAACTAAAGATAGTATAACTACTTCAAATCATTGAAGTTGTTTGTTTATGCCTGGCCAATCCTCCCCTGTCTAAATAGAAAAGTCTAATGTTTAATCTTCTTTTATTGCACAGTGTGTTTAATTTACATATTTTTTTTTTGTATCTCCTATTCTGTTAATTATTATGTTGCTGCTATGTCCTGCAAGAGCCTTGCGTGTCTGATTAAAATTCCATTAACAGAACAGATAGAAAAAAACACACTGCATTGTAAAGTAAAACCATTTTTTTGTTAATGGAGGCAATGTGAATCATAGTGATGAAGAGGTGCGGCTAGGGCTGCATAAACAAAAATAAAACTGATCTAACTCATACATTGCAGAGCATTGAGCAGTAAGATTACATGTGCATGACATATACACCAGGACTTTAGCTTGTGGTCTTAATATTTAAATTGTTATATGACTGTATCTAAGATATTGTCTTAATTTTTACTGATACTTTGTTATTAATTATATCTCCATATGAGCGAAATTGCACGGACTTTAATGTCAGTTTTAAAAATGGCATCTTAATATGATGGACTTCCGGTTATATATTTCATCCGGGTCAGAGAGAGAACGACGCAAGATATATTGATCACGTGGTGACGCCGGAATGCAGAAGTAACGTCGGAATGTGGAAGTAAAAGAAATCGCGCGGGAAGTCCAATTTCCGAATAGGACTTATTTAAATGACGCTGGGAACGTTCATCACTTATGCACTTTTGAAGAAGACGGAAGTCGAAACGCGTTGTGCTTTATTGTATGTTGTATTTTATTTTATGCCAGTAATACATTTTTATACCTTTACCTATTTGGCTGCGATATTCGTGGCGTGGAGAAAGAGGAGAGGAAAACATCTGTCGAAAATCCATTAGCAGAAACAGCTTGGAGGAGCTGATTGTTTGAAAGCTGTTATAGTTACAGCCTGCTTTCTAAGACTCTACATATCGTGAGTGACCCATTACCTCTGTACTACATGTGTATAATATCTCTTTTTACAGTATTATTCTATGTATATTATTTTATCCTTTTCAGATTGATCCTGTGATTTACTGATATAAGTATACTATAGGATTATTATCTTTTGCACCCCCCTCCCCTTTTTTCTTTTCACTTTTATTTACATTTAGAAGATGTTGCTTTGAACCCATAACATGCAGTCAAGGGAGCTCTCAAAGCAAGAGAAACAGGCAATCCTTAGGCTTAGGCTACAATAAAAATAGCCGTCAGAGAGATAGCAGTAACATTAGGAGCGGCCAAATCAACAGTTTGGTACATTCTGAGAAAGAAATAGGCACTCTGCTATACAAAAAGGCCTGGACTTTCACGGAAAACAACAGTGGTGCATGATTGCAGGTCATTTGCATGGTAAAGGAAAACCCTTTCACAACATCCAGCCAAGTGAAGAACACTCTCCAAGAGGCAGGCATTTCATATCCAAGTAAAGAGGGGACTTAATGAGATGGTTCACCAAAAGGTAAAAAACATTCTTAAGCATGAAGAATAGAAAGGCCAGATTAGACTTTGTAAAAAAAAATATAAAAAACAGTCCAGCTCTGGAACAGTATTATTTGGACGGATGCTAGTAAGATCAACCTGTACAAGAAGGATGGGAAGAGAAAAATATGGAAAAGGCTTGGAATGGCTCATGATCTGAAGCATACCACATCATTGGTATAACACGATGGAGGCATTGTGATGGCATGGTCATGCATGGCTTCCAATTGCACTGGGTCACTAGTGTTTACTGATTATGTGACAGAAAACAGAAGCAGCCGGATGAATCCTGAAGTGTATAGGCATGTACTGCCTGCCCAGATTTAGCCAAATTCAGAAAATTTGATTAGACAATGCTTCACTTTACAAATAGCCAATGATCTAAAACATACTGCGAAAGCAACCCAGGAGTTTTTTAAGTGAAAAAAGGGGAATATTCTGCAGTGGCCAAGTCAATCAATTGGTCTTCCCTTGCTGAAGACAGAAATACTTATGAACAAACAACAACTGAAGACAGCTGCAGTAAAGTCCTGGCAAAGCATCGTAAAAGAGGAAACCCAGCATTTGGTGATGTCCATGTGTTCTAGACTTCAAGCAGTGATTGCCTGCAAAATTATTCTCGACAGAGTATTAAAAATTAACATTTTATTTAGGATTGTGTTAATTTAACCAAGTACATTTGAACCCCAGAAATAAGGGGACTGTGTATAAAATTGGCTGCAATTCATAAATGTTTCATATGATATTTTTGTTCATCCCCTTGAATTAAAGCTGAAAGTCTGCACTTCAATTACATCTCAGTTGTTTCATTTCAAAACCATTGTGGTGGTTGATTTTTGGGCCAAATGGTTCGACCAAAACAAATAATTTTTGGGGCAAGTCTAGAATCAAGCCCAATATTTCTGTCAATTAAATATCAATTTCCCCATACACTGAAATAGGACAATTGATTTTTTATTACCGGTTCTATTTTAAATGTTATGCTTTTTCCTCAATTAAATATTCTGATTTGCTTTTCTTTGCTTTTAATCTTTCACACAGTTCTTTTACTCTAAGCTACCTGAGGGCATTGTTCAAAGATGAATGAATACGATTCTCTCTACACACTCTTTTAGATTCCTCAGTAGCTTGTTTTATTTTCCTAGAATATCATTTAAATCAATCTTGCATACTGGGCAGTGATTTGCCTTTTTCAAAATTTTAGCAATGTTGTTCTTTGCTAATGCTCTTTGGCTTGTTTCTCTAGTTAAATTTGTATATGTTTCTCATTCTATATCTTTATCCTTTTCTTTTTGGTTTCTTACCACTTCCTCTTTCATTTATTGTTTTTATTGACAGAATTAGTTCAAGTGGATATTTTGTTTATTGAGTGTCCTGTGAAGCCTAAGCATATATAAATATATATATAGCATATATATATATATATATATATATATATATATAGCAAAAATAGATGATAGGTGCACTCACAGCTCTTGTTCCAAAGTTTATTTTATTTACTTGTGCAAATTACATGTGCAAAATAAATAATCTCTGATTATTTTGCACATGTAATTTGCACAAGTAAATAAAAGAAACTTTGGAACCAGACCTGTGAGTGCACCTATCATCTATTTTTGCTTTATATACAAATGCTGAGGTTTGCACCCAGGCAAGACATTTTTTCGTCATTGATTGGTTACAGGTGAGTGCCAAGGTTACTTTCTTTTTATATATATATATATATATATTTATATATATATATATATATATATATATATATATATATATGTGTAAGGGGAAAATAGCCGTATATGGAGTAAGGTGTTAGTATAAGCGTAGGATAGTATAAGAGAACAAGTCGGTTGTGGTGTGCCGAGACCGACGATACGGTTGGCCTGTAAATAAAGAGGGCCCATCAAGGAGTAAGAAAAGTAAAGAAATAGAAAGAGAAAGAAAAGTGTTGAGAATGAGGAGTGGGTGGGAGGGTCATTCAGAAGCTGACCTCGAGTGGCATGGAGTCAGGTAAGGGGTGTACCTTATATAGGTAAGTGAATTAACTTAAGCCCCTCCCACAATTACAGGCAAAACAGCCTTAATACTTGAGTAAGGGGCAAATAGCCGTATATGGAGTAAGGTGTTAGTATAAGCGTAGGATAGTATAAGAGAACAAGTCGGTTGTGGTGTGCCGAGACCGACAATATGGTAGAATCCAACAAATTAGTATAGTTAAAAAACATATACCACCGGGGGCGCCACAATCACACACGTGTAATTATATTTACCAAATGGTAGACACAAGGTATCATGTAAAGAGATAAAAATGGAACAGTATATAGTGAAGTATTTAATGGTACAAATACAAATATTAAAAAAGATAAAAAATACACTCACAAAAGTATTGGCACAATAGGGACATATGTCTAAATTGTGCTATAAAAGCTTGTCAGCCCCTTGGGCTAAATACCCTTTGTACAGTGGATCCGATTTCTTCAGATTCAGTAATGGTCAGTCCTTATTCGGCTGGAGTCCAAATCTGTCCAATAAATATCAGTAGGGGTGTTTAAGCTGCTCGACGCGTTTCGTCTCACCGACTTTCTCAAGAGCTGTACATGGCTTCTTTCTTCCGGCTTTTTAAATCCTGTGTTTCGCGCGTTCTTTTCATTGCGCGCATGCGCATCGCGGCTGAAATGTCCATACCCATAGCCGCGCGTGCGCATGTGTTCCACCTTGGAACGCAAACAACTTTATTGGCAATTTGTCCATACTGGTTAAATATGTATCAATCTTAACCCATTAAGTGCCGTATGTAAGTGAACCATATTACCAGTTACGTATATACAGATGCGTGTGCTACTGTGTAATAATATGTGTATTTATAACAGATATTGATATACTGCTTGCTATGTGAATTGTTGTATGCCTTATTGAATGGCAAGTGAACATGGAGTTGCAAAATGCAAGTGCACTGGAGATCTGCCGAGTGCCCTATAGGTGGCAGTGTAGTTGATACTGATTGGTATGTGAAATGTTGTTTGTCTGTTGACCTATAGGGGTCAGTGTTTTGGTGTTTGTAAAACCCCATGAAAATTGTCAATGTACTTGACAGACCTGTAGGTGGCAGTGTTGATAGAACCACTGTTAGTCTTAATGTGAAATGTAAATTATTGTGAATTAAACCTGAAGTTGAGCCTGTGTTGGAGTTTAATTCATGGTTTATGGTTATGTTTAAAACAATCTTATGTGTAATTTATATTGGCTGGTAATTGTATATGACATGTGAAGACAGTTTTGCTGTTGACCAGTAGGGGTCAGAAATGCTGATTGTATGGTAAAATACCCTTTAACCCCTGAAGGATACATGACATGTGTGACATATCATGATTCCCTTTATTCCAGAGTTTGGTCCTTAAGGGGTTAATCCAAATGCAAGGTTAACGTGAGATTTTGAGAGTGACCTGTAGGGGTCAGTGTGGTTTATGTGAAACATTGTTTGTGAGCTATGCCCCAGCATTATAGTTGTGTGACAGGGAAACAAAGTGCCCGTTTGACAATATACAATAAGTGAACATAATAGCTTAATAACAGTCATTGTAACAAACCAAAGTTCTGTTCGTGGGTTGTAAACGCACGAAACGTGTGTGTAGTACAATAGTAAATGCATGAACTAGTACCCGTTTGGTAGAAAATTGCACGAACCGTGAGCATGGTATGCCAGGGAAACAAAACGAAATGAGCAGTGATATTCGAAATGCACGCACAGAATTGCCGAGTATGTTTAGGCAATTGAAACAGAATGAGTTCCCGTTTGGGAGTATGCTAATGCTCGAAATGAGCCAGTGACAGATATAAACAAGTGAATTTAAACGAATGATATGCATGAACATCCAATGGTTTTAGGACAGATTTAGACAAAATGCAGCCGTAAAGTGAGGACCTGACCCGTGCATGGTGCCGTGGGACTGATGCCTGGCGTAACGGGTAGGTCGACTTACGGTTTGTGAGTCACTTGGACACCATCCACAGCGATAGATTGAAGAAAGAAGGTGGTAGGCCGGAAAAGCCTGTGGCTGGATTCCTGACACAGCTCAGCTTAGAAAACCTCATGGAGTAATCAGGTAAAATGGCGTCTGGATGACCCGGAAGTGGAAATCATTCTGATGCTGACCTCAAGCGATATGAGTCAGGTAAGGGGTGTCCCTTATATAGGGGAGTGAATTAATTTAAGCCCCTCCCACAAATACAGGCCAAATGGCCTTAAAACATATATATATATATATATATATATGAAATTCTGGCACTCTACCCATATATTATCAAAAAAAGGGAAAACAAGAAATCGACCAGGGTGCTTCTCTGTGCTCCCATATACAAACAGAAAAAATTAGAGCACTCGATGGATTTGTAATAAATCTTATATATTAAATCATGAGCAACGAAGTGAATCAACGTTTCAACCATCAAGCGGTCTTTATCAAGATGCCACAACAATTAAACAAGTGAAATATAACACATACAGTATTCAAATTAAGTTAAACTTACCCAATCACCAAGAAACCCATTTTTTTTGATAATATATGGGTAGAGTGCCTGAATTTAGGATATTTATATGGATAGTGTGTAGTGCCACACTTTCTGAGCACCTCCAATTTTGAATTTTTTCTTGTTAAACTTGCACTATATCAAAGTGCAACCAATATTATCAAGGCTGATTAGGGAGGATTTCCTAATGAGGGCGGGTGCCCTAGCTGAAACAGCTGAAATAGTACAAATCTCAGCCCAAGATGCAGAAATATCCTTTGGCCGAACACCACTGCTAATCTTGCACACACTGACTCTATTAAAGACCTGTATAATGACCTTATGAAACTTAAAAGGCGAGATGTGGATTTGGATCTACACAGAATTTTCATTTCCAATTATTATCGTGCAAAAAGGATTCCCAGAGGATTTAGGGTAAGAAATTCACCCACTATTGGGAGGCAAAACCCAGAATTTTGCAAAAAAATTGATGGGAATCGCAAATAAATGCTCCCTAGATTGGATGATAATTGTGGTGGAGGAGGTTAAAAATGAATTAATCCTCACTAAAGAATCAATTAATAAATTTGAAATGACACATGTAACCACCTTGAATGATGCAGCATCCACTCAACACGTTAAATTGCAAGACGAAATTATGAGATATAGAAATGATCTCATTCGTTTTAAAAAACAAAAATTAGATAGAGTCAATTTTGATTATACACACCACCAAGTGTACCATTGGATCAGTGGAGAAAGGCAAAAAACATATTTTCAAAGAAATAGACGAGTACGCAAACCACAGTTTATATCCATTGACACAAGTTTTGCAGAGTCTACATCAGAAACAGAAACAAGGGATCAACTAAGTCAAGCATCCTCTACCAGATCATCTTACCAATCACGTTCCTCTACTTTTTTAGAGATGGAACAACATACAAACGACCCACCTGGCATATTCACATGTGCAAGGAGAGGTTTAAAAGAAGGAGACCAATTAGAAGAGGACAAAGGAACAAAATATATAAACACAAGATCCAAACCACCAACCAAGAGGAAATAAATCTTATTTTTAATTTATTGTCTAAGATCTTAACCAGTGATCACATTAAAGTTTTGTCTAAAGGACTCTCATTCGTACCTACAGCCAAGCCAGACCACTTTAAGATGGATATTGAATTAAGATCAACAGAATTTTGAATATACAAGCCTTAAAAAACACATGGACACCAGGAGCTACACCTCAGTTCAAACTTAAAAGTACATGGGAACTTAAGAATGTGCATCATTCAATTAAAACCTTCTCAACTACCATTAAAACAGATATGGATAAGATCATTTCTAAACAGTTAAAAAGACCAGATAATTTAACACAGGCTGAAAGAATTGCCCTTAAGGATTTAAGTGAAGATGATAAACTGGTGATCCGTTCTGCGGACAAAGGAGGAGCCATCGTCCTTCAGGATTATGACAACTATAGAAAATAAATCTTGACCCAATTGGTGGACATGAAGACATACAAAAAAGTATTTTTTGATCCCACAAAAAAGATTATGAACAAAATACAGAATTGGATTAACACAGGGGTCACAGCCAATTGGTTAGATCACAATACAGCGGAATTTTTACTGAATACACATCCGAAAACTCAGATTCTATATACCCTACCAAAGGTACACAAGAATCCACAAAATCCACCCGGCAGACCAATTGTATCGGCCCAGGGTGAGGTGCTTGAACCAGTAGCCAAATTTGTAGACTTTTATTGTAAATCTACAGTGACACGTATTCATTCATGTCTAAGAGACACCCAATATTTTTTGAACAAAATAAAAAATTGTAAGACACTGAATCCACATTGTAATTTTGCTACAGCAGATGTTAAAAACCTTTATACCGTTATACCACATGACAAGGGTATAGAAGCAATGCGTAATTTGTTGACACATTCACAGTTTTATGAAGGACCCCCCATTGAATTTCTTTTGGAAGGTTTGGAATTAACCTTGTCTAACAATTATTTTCATTTTGAAAAATGATTTTATATTCAAGAGACTGGTACAGCGATGGGATCAGCAATAGCACCAACCTATGCTAACAGTTTTATGTTTGCATAT